GAAAAAAAGAAAAAAGACCTCTGCTCCGTAAAACTTGGGGACTTTAGAAAAGTTATTCAATCTCTTTACAACTTCTATTTTTTTATCTGCAAAAATGGAAACAACCATGCCTATTACACAGGATTCTTCCAAAGATTAAATAAGATAATATAAATAAAGGGCTCAGCATAGTGCCTAGCACATAGTGTTATGGGATCTTTGGAGTGTCGCTTTTCTGGCCGGAAACCGTGGCCAGCAGTGCCTTGACAGGTTTGGCTCAGGCCCACTGGGCTTGTTCCACCCACTTGGCCTGACAGGCTACACTCAGCTCACACTACCAGCCTATATCCCACGCCTCTAAGGGAGACTGCAAGTCAGGCATGGAGCAGCAAGGGGTATGCGAGCAAGAGTGGGGTCTGGCCACTGTGCAGTCAGACACGCTGGCTGCTGCCGTGAGGCTGGCAGCCTCAGGTGCCAGGTGGGTGCCAGCTGTCTGCAAGGCTGTGGCTGGATCAGGTGCACTGCAAGCCACTCTCCCAGCTGGCACCAGGAAATGCAGTGGCCCCTGGAAGCTTGGAGACACCAGGAACCACAGCACCACAAAGAGGAAGTCACAACCCTGGCTCGCGGAGCTCCCAGGTCTGGGCTCCCTGAAGGGCCTCACCTCTTCTCTCCTCTTTGCCCGCAACATGACGAGCAAGGAGCATGTTTCAGCCCTGTTTGCGTTATAACTCTTTTAGTCCCACCATTCGATGGGTCCCTAGTTCTTGTCCTGCAACCAGGAAGAAATGTATGCAGACAAGTGAAGGGTGAGCAAGACAAAGAGGAGCCTTACTGAGCGATAGAACAGTCAGAGGAAACCGCAGTGTGTAGCTCCTTTCTGCAGCCAAGGTGTCCCAACAAGTGTCCTAGCAGAGAGACCCTGGAGTGGGAAGCTGTTCTCTGCTGGAAGGTCATCCTGTCTTCTCTGCAGCTCTCAGCAGAATGGAGGCCCTGGAATGGGTTACTCCTCTCTGTAGATGGTGGTCCCAACCTCTGCCCTGTTCTGGCCGAGCCCAGTCTCCTCTCTGCTGGCAGGTTGTCCCATCGTCTCCCCAGCTCTCAGCAGACAGGAGGACCTGGCATAGGTTACTCCTCTCTGTAGATGGTGGTTCCGACCTCTGCCCTGTTCTGGCTGAGCCCAGTCTTCTATGGGCCTCAGAGGGGAGGAAGTGCAGGTAGACTGCTCCATGGCCAGCCATGGACAGGCCCAGAAATGGCACCACAAGTTCCCACTCCAGTGGGTGGGACTGGTATCCAGGTCTCTGGCCTTTAGGCCCTCCCTGAAGACCAGCACCAAGGTGCCCTAAGTACCCCCTTGGCTCCTCCATCTTCCCCCATGCTCATCAGGGCCCTAAGTCTGGAGGGAGCCGAGGCAGCAGGGAGCTGCGTACCCTATGTGTACACTCCCAGCCTGGGTGTGACAGCATCTGGGCTTGGCCCCACATTGCTCAGAGATCAGAGCCAGCACCAACAGAGGCAGGAGCCAGGCAGCTGGAGCAGTCACTTCTGAGCCAGTTGAGGGGTGGAGGCAGGCCTTCCCATGTCTCCAGGAGCTTATGGAGGCCCAGGTCCACAACCCTGACTTGGACGGCTACAGCCCCAGGCAGGGCTGCTGCCTGCTCCTGGCTCCCACTTGCTCTGTGGAGCACGCAGCCCTTGCCTCACCCCCTCCCAGCCTGGGGCAGGGGCTCCAGGTCCTCATGGATCGGTGTCCAGGCAGGGTAACATCACCATGAGCTCCCCCTGTTGCCCCGGCACTTCAGGGGCAGTCTGGGGCAGAGTGGATCACGGACCTGGGCCAGGCCATCAGAGTGTCAGGCTCAGTGGTCACCACGATGTGGAGCAGACCCAAGGAGGTAGCCCCAGACGGCCTGCACAAAGCCTCCTCCTGAAGCACAGGAACCTGGTACCGTTGGCAGGGTGGGCACAGTGGCTGCACTGCTGGCCAGGTCCCTGAAGTGGGGGCTGCTCCCACTTCCTGCCCTGGGACCCTGAAACGTGGCCCCAGCTCTGTGCCCAGGCCCGGCCCTGGGCTCCCTGTGCAAGCGTCGCACTGCCCCAGGCCCAGTTCCGCTTCGGGGCTTCTCTCTGCCCTACCGAGCTGCCCTCCTGCCGCTCTGCTCCTCTGATGGTGGGTAACCCAGCCAGCCCCGTGGGGCAGCCCCGTGGGGCGGCCCCCAGGGCAGCAGGCTGTGCAGGGGCTGTCTGCCTGCTCCCTGCACCCTCCCTGCAGTGGCCAACCACTGTCATCAACAGTAAACACTCAATAAATGGTCATTTGTAAAAGGAAGATAACTCACTAAGAAATTTAGAGAGTAACAGTAGGCAAAATTGATTTACAAAAGAATGGGAGACAACTCTAAGAGCAGAAAAGTATTTTCTTCAATTTGCTGCTGATCCTACTGTCCCCCTTCATTTATCCTTTAAGATCCCAGATCAAGTACCACCTCCTCCGTGAAGCCTTCAGATTACCTCAGCCAGAAGTGATCACTTCCTTTATTTTTTACTTTGGTGGCAAAATGTTAATATTTTTAATCTCTTTGGTATTACAATTACTATGTCAGTTGCCTTATAACACAGCTTCCTGAAAAAGCAGGGCCTCATCTTTGTTTTAAATCTCTCCTTACACCTAGCATGGAATGTTGCATGTAGACTCTGATTGCATGAATGAAAAGCCATCAAGCCATAAACTTTGGTGGGTAGCAGCCCACGAGCAAGGTCCTCCTGAATAGATTTGCCATTGTTTTCATGTATGTGTGTGTGTATGTGTGTGTGTGTAGGGAGAGCCTAAAGTGTAGGAGTGGATTTATTCACAATTGAGCTCATTGATACCTTTCCTTAAGAGCCAAATAGTTTATGTTTCATTGCCACAGTTATCATCAAAGGTAATATTCAAAATGGAGGATGAAGAGTGCTGGGACTTTTTTCTTTCTTTCTTTTTATGTTTCTCTCTTTTGCAGCAGGGGGCAGCTATTGGAGGAGAAAGACTAAAGAATAAGGGAAAGGATGCATCTTTTTTTTTGAAATGCAGGTAGGAGTTATGGATAACTCCCAAGTACCTGTACAAATTGAAAATGATTAACTTTGCTACTCCCGAAAAAAATTTTAATCCCAAAGTCATTTATTTTGGCTTTAGAATAGACTAGCATTTGTGTCGGATTTTCCTGCCTAATTACTTTTTGCTTAAGCTTATTTAAAAATTGTTTTAAATTCCTTTAGTATGACAGCCTAGGAAAGTTGGGGGAGGAGAAACAGGCCACAGATGGGATCTGAACTAGAGTTTCAGTTCTCCCATGTCAAGGCCTCCTGATGTACTGCTTGCAGGAGGGCAAAGTTGGAGTCAGCTTTGTGGAAACCAATTTGGCAAAATAATTTTAAAAGTCTTAAAAATATGCGTACCCTTTGATCCAGTAATTCCACTTCTAGGAATTTGTCCTAAGGAAATAATCAAGCATGCAGAAATATAGGGACAAGGATATTCACCACAACATTTATAGCAGCAAAAAAAAGTAAAACCACCAGAAAATATTGAATAATATGGAATTGATTAAAGTATGCTGTTAAGCTGCACATGTTTTCAAAATTACAGACTTTAAAAATGTTTACCACATCTTTTTAAGTGAAAAAGAAACTGCAAAATAGTATGTTCAGTTTGAAACGGCATGTAGATATAGAGGTGGATGGATGGATGGACAGACGGAGATACATATTCTGTAGTGTTAATTTTGGTATTGCTGAGTAGTATAATTGGGATAGTTTTGTACTTTTTTGTGTTTTTCACATTTTCTGCTTAAGCATGTATTACTTTGTAATTAGAAAAAAAAACTATCATTTTTAAAAGAATGTATGGTTAATAGATCAATGAAAAAGTAAATTACTACATAATACCCACAAAGTGGGTAATCTGAATGCAAATAATTGCTATTAAATGTAAGAGTCACATCCATACATGTGAGTTATAAGCAATCATACTGCATATGTAAAGCTGGATGTGCCTTAATTGTGATTTAACTTTATTGTTTCCCAAGTAAAATAACCATATTCAATAAAAATCTGGGAAGGCACAGTTTGATTATAACTTGCATGCCCTGTTTTCTGATACCCCACTCTGGAGGCAGACTCTTCTTGAGCCAAGAGAACCACAGTTTTGCAAAGCTGCAGAGACCAGTAGGTTTTTTGGGAATTACATGTTAAAACATTTTGATTGCCTAAATAACATAATAAAAATACGGGGAACATTTGAAATCATTCTTGATCTTCCGAAGGCAATTTCCAGTGACATTTTGGCTGTTTCCCCTTTATCTCTTCATTATCATCAACTCAGAACTTCAAATCCAAAGATCTAAACAGGTAAAGGGGAGAAAGTGGATGGTAAATGATGAAGACAACATAAACCTTTGGTGACCCCAAAATAACTCTTGGCTCACATGTTAAAGAGCTCTGCTTTATATATGATCAGCTGCAGGGGAAATTTGTTCTTTACTGTTTGCAAACTTCAGCTCTGTACACATGATAGGGTTCTCTTTTATTTGCAGTCCCTAAATTCCTGGGATACCGTATGGCTTCACTGAAGGAAAGGGCTTGCAGGTCTGGCTCCCTGTTGTCTGAGTTCAGTTGGAAAAGCCTTTTGTGATTAACTCGGCCACAGTGTGTCCTTTGGTATTTGGAACTTCAGTGGTTGTTTATTAATTCGCCAACTTTTGAACACTGACCCAAATAAGCTTCATATAATGGAAAAAGAAGAGAAGTCTAGCTCTTTGGGTCCCAGATTGAATCCCAGTTTTCCGACTAGCTGTGACCTTGAGCAAGTTGACTCAGTATGTCAGAGTTTCAGTTTTCCTCACTTAATTTGGAGAGTTGTGCCTTCCTGACTCACCTCTTAGGGCTATTCTTGGTGAACTGTAAAGCCCTGTAACAGTGAGGGACAGTTGTGGGTCTTTATAAACACACCACCTTCTCCTACTTTGTTTCTGACACAGTTTCCTTACGCCACCCCACCTCCCCAAGAACCCGTGAAGACACTGAGAAGCCTGGTCAATATCCGAAAGGACACACTGAGGCTTGTCAGGTAAGTTCCCGGAGGCTGGGGCCAGGTCCCAGGCACCTTCCTTTGTGGGAGGTTGGGGGCTGAGGGACAGACTCCCCAGGGAACTCACACAGCAGTTTCCGGCAGCCCTGGAGCCTACTTCTCCAGGCATCAGGCAGGAGTGTGGGTGCTACTTTCTGCTGAGATCAGGCTGTCCACACCCATGTTTTTAGCACTGGATGCAATGCTCTGTGTTTGTGAAGAACTTTCACTTGCCTAGAAATGCTCATTATCTTTATTTTATGGATTTTTTTTAAAGGGAAGAGGAGTTATTAAGGGAAAATGGGAATTTTTGCAGCTACTCCAGCAAGCCAATGTAAAAATGGGAAATTTGAACTTAGAATATCAAATCCTTTATTTAATTGCTTATATTTTCTTTTTTATTCCCCATCTCATGTGTCTGTTCTCTGAGGAACTCATAGTGCCCTGGGTTGATCGTTTAATCCTCATCATCAATGTTAATTATCATCATTTGCCTTCTTGGTGCCCTCCTCGAGATAGTGTAATTTTTAATCTGATGCATTCCCATCGCCTGCCACCCCTAGACAGTTCATCTACTAAGGCTCTCTGATTCCCTGGGGAAAAAATTTGGCAAATCAGAGGTCCCAGATTTTTCTGAATAGACAAGGAAGATGACTCAGAGACCATCTCATGCTTATATAGATCAGCCTTATTAGCATTACGATGTTGCTGTCTGATTTTTTTTTTTTTTTTTTTTTTTGAGACAGAGTCTTGTTTTGTCACCCAGGCTGCAGTACAGTGGCACAATCAGCTCACTGCAGCCTTGACTTCCCAGGCTCAAGCGCTCCTCCCAACCCTAAGTAACCATTAATCTATTTTCTGTTTCTATTAATTTTTTATATTTTATCTGTCCCTGAAGTTTTTACTGGTTCCCCAGCTATACTTCTGTCCACCCCAGGGTCAACTCTGGGGAGGAGAGAGCCAAGGAGGTACCTGTCTGCTGCAGAACAGTCCCCCCACCCCACCCACGGGAGTTCCTCCAGCAGCCGAGCAGACTAACAAGGCCTCTGGGGTCTGCCAGCTGCCAGCTATTCCATCCACTTGGTTTCTCTCATCACATACGGCATGCTTACACATTTGATGCAGACCATTCAAGGGTCTGAGCTGCTGTGAGGTCCTAGCCTCTGCCGTGGCAGCCAGGCCACAGCTCTAGAGTAGTGTGAAGGAGCTGTCATGTGCTAGAAGAACCAGACTTGGAAGCAGCAGAGCCATTTGCTTCCCAGGTCCACAGATGCTTGCTTGAATAAGTGTCTGAGCTTCAGGTTTTTTAATCTGTAAAATGGTGATAATCAACTTTACCTTTAATGGTTGTTGTCAAAATTAAGAGAACAAAAGGGAAAACACTGACGTTCGATAAATGTTAAATTGAAGGGTGTTCTTTGTTTTGTTTTTCTGTGATTATGGAAATAAATTCTGATTCTCAGATTTCCAGGTAAAGATGGAGGATTGAACACCTACTTTTGCTTCCTCTCAAAACCCCATTAAGTAATAATAAACATATATTTAAATGGCATAAATCTGGCCAGGCACAATGGCTCACACCTGTAATCCCAGCACTTTGGGAGGACAAGGCGGGCAGATCACCTGAAGTCAGGAGTTTGAGACCAGCCTGGCTAACATGGTAAAACCCCATCTCTACTAAAAATACAAAAATTAGCCAGACATGGTGGCACATGCCTGTAATCCCAGTTGCTCCAGAGGCTGAAGCAGGAGAATTGCTTGAACTGGGAGGCAGAGGTTGCAGTGAGCTGAGATTGTACCACTGCACTCCACCCTGGGTAACAGAGAGTAAGACTCCATCTGAA